TGAATGATCCTACCATATTTTCTATTAGAAATAAAAAATAATTTGTAAAATTATTTCAATAAGTGCTTTAGCCTGTGTAAAATTGTGAGTGAAAAAATGGTAAATATTGTAAAGATGTTAGAGTATAAGAAAATGCCCCCAAAATGTGTGACTATCAAATTTTATTTGGGAAAAGTCAAGAGCCTGTAGAAACATATCTCTAAAACTATAGTTGGCAAATTACTAGTTTAGATACAGAAATAATTTTTTATCATGCAGCAAATTTTTTTTAATTTGAAGGACCCTGTAACTTTACATAATGTGAAGGACTGGAAAAGCAGCATCCTTAGACCATAACCTCATACATATGTTATCCTCCCAAGCTAAAGAAACACATAAAGAGGGTTAAGATAACATTCAGCCCCAAAGGAAACTGGTTGGAAGAAATTGCCTTGGTGAGAATACCCAATGGAGAGAAAGCACAAGTTTTCAGGTGGCCTAAACCAAAGTGACCTCAACTTTAGGGCCATGCAGTTGACAGGGTATTTAAGCTAGGCTTATCTACCATTCTACAAAATGTAGGGTACAGAGACGCCATATTTCCTTGGCAAACATATACGAATGTTTGGATAATGGTAGATCTCTTTTGAGACTGCTTTAATAAATGTTTTAGCTAAAAATATAAATATATATTGCTTCCCATAACTGTGAATTTAAAATTCTGCCAATAATATTCCAAATATGCACAAGCTCTTCCATTTTTATGATAAAGTGTCAGTTAATATGGTTTTCCCTTCCCCTAATATCATGACTCTCTCCCTGCTTTCCAAACCAAGGTATGATGACATAAATACCATGAAAAAAATCCAAGCACCAATGTCAATGTTTGGAAGAAAGAAAATAGTTTTTTTATTACCACATTGCCTGATGATTGATGAACATTAAGTCATTAGTGGGTGAGGTGAAATCTAAAAAGAGAATTTTTAAGAAAGCTATGTGGTTGGAGGTGGGGTTCCAGCCACAAATGATAGTGTGATGCCCATTATGAGAGTTGTATGGAAAGAGAGCAGGGAAAATTTTTGGACGCCAATGTAGGTCATGAAGAGCTGGTTAAAAGGTGAAGAAAACCAGGGAACTGATTTCAGAATGGCAACGATTACAATAGTAAAGCAAACTGTTTGGATCTTTGAAAATATACACTGAGGCTTTCTCTCTTTTTTTTTTAATTTTTATTTATTTATGATAGTCACAGAGAGAGAGAGAGAGAGAGAGAGAGAGAGAGAGAGGCAGAGACACAGGCAGAGGGAGAAGCAGGCTCCATGCACCGGAACCCGATGTGGGACTCGATCCCTGGTCTCCAGGATCGCGCCCTGGGCCAAAGGCAGGCGCCAAACCGCTGCGCCACCCAGGGATCCCTACACTGAGGCTTTCTAAAATGCAAACCCAAAGTGGCTAACACATAAGTTTATTAGTCATAATTAATAAGTATGTCCGCCACCTCCCAGGAAACACAAAAATAATTGCAAATGGCAAAATGATAATTGTCATTCATAATATTCCTTAATAACCTATCATTTCACAAGCCACCTACATCCTGGTGTTCTTCCATAAAGTGCTTTGCCATTTTCTCCCTCCTACTCTCTATCACCTACTTCTCCTTAGGTACATGCTCTATTTTTATTTGGTTTGCTTTTTGAGATCCCTGCTGATGGTGGGTCACTGCACAGGGGGTGGAGTTTTGGTCAAGAGTGTGTGTTTGCTTCTCCTACCTGTCTCAGAGTGTGGTCCTTCGATCCTCTGTTGTGGATCAGGTGTCCAGCTGGTTCTCAGGTTCTCATCAAGAGGGACTTGCTCCAGATGTAGCTGTGTATTTATTGGGTCTGTGGATCTCCCTACACCACCATCTAGAATCACCTCTCCTAGGAAGTATTTTAACACCGGGCATCAATATAACTACAGCACCCTTAACTAAAATGTACATTTATCTACAGCATATTTATTCTGAATACTGATTAATCAGCATTGAAATTAAGACATCCAAAAATGTAATTCTCATTTGGAACGATGATCTGCTCCCATTTACATCCATAGTTGTTGGTCAGATTGTGTATGTGAACTAAAGAACAGACCATGGCCTCATTAGTTTCTAAATACTTTGAGCTTCCAAAGGATTTTCCTTGAAGAATAAATTGTGTTGACATAAAATTATACAAAAAGTTTAAACTCTCAGTTTGATAGATATAAAAGCTTAATTTAGAAGAGTAGCTATTTTTGAGAACTTACCTTATGCCAGCCACAGATCTAAGTGCTATATATATATTATCTTCATTTAACCCCCTCAACAACCCATTTTGATCCTATTTTACAGATGAGAAAATGGGTACATAAGTGAAAAACCTTGACCAGGTCACAGTTAGTAGGAACAGAACCAGGAATGAAGGCTGTTTGCTGAATCAGTACTACCTCACATGAATGTTGATTTCCAAGAATTGTTTAAAGTAAAATCTGCTCCTGTAAATCGATCTATGGTACTATGTAATTACGTCCATGTCAAAACAGTATTTGACATGGCTACAGCCAATATTAAAATATAACAGAGTCATTTTTAAAGAATCTGATACTGTGCCAGTTATTAATACCTCTCTACTCTAGATTCACTCTTTTTGCTTGCTCTGTGAAAATGGATCTGGACCCTCTAGATACCTTTTTTTTCTTTGCCAGCTGACACTGAAGCTCTCCCAGTAGAGGAAGAGGAGAGGCATAGAAGGGAAAAAGTTCAATTTCCTGGTTTACACATTCTCAGTAGGCAGGCTCCCATGGCAAGGGCAGCTCCTCAGTGCTAGGCTCCTGCAGTGCAGAGTGGTCAGCAGCCACCAGTTTTCCCCCGCACACCCCTCAGGTGACACTTCAGAGTATTTCTGATGAGAAAATTCCTTGTGAACAGCTTTCCTCAGCACACCACAGGGAAGATTTCTAGTACACTGCACCAGTGTGGCAATCATGGGGACTTTTTTTTTTTTTTTTTTTTTTTTTTACCATACAGTGAGCCATGTCTGTGCTCTAAGACCTGGATCTCAGCCTTAGGAGAATGGGGACTCTTCACTGGGTGTCCGTCTCACACTTAGGAGTAGTGACTACTTCTCATGTCTCTTATTCATGTATTCATTAGAGTTCTCTTCACTTACTAGCCAATCCCATACTTCACCACCAATGTTACATGGCTATGTTACATTAAACCTTCTCTGTTCAAATTACTGTGTAGTTTTTCTCTCCTAATGGAGCTCTGATGGCAACAGATACTTATCTCTAATGAGAAATTTTATTGAAAGTAATCTTGTGAGAAGTAATTACATGCATTTTATTAAACTAAAAAAATCAACTTACTAGGAAATACATGATATTGTTTACAAATAAAGGTGCATTTTATTTAAAATTATTAATTTACTTGAAAAGTTAAATGCAGTCATCAATTAATTCAAGTTAAAATCTGCTATACCTTCTGAAAAGGAAGTATTTTTGTCTACTGTTTTATTTCCTATTTGTTACAATATTTAATGGAGAGTGATCATGACTAAATATTATAAAGCATTTAAATACATAGTTATTTAAACTTATTCAAATAAAAACCCAAATTCACAAAATTTAGTAGACAGACGCTATAATCATCATCAGACTCTGCAGTCTAATATGTATTTAAATATATTTTTTAAATTTTGATCATTAAACATAGCCTGAGCCCATATTTCACAAAGCCTTCGGAATGTTCAAGCCAAAAAGAATATATATATATATATATTAATTGAATTTAATTCTTTTCAGCCAGTTATGCCTAGGGAAATACATATTGGAATGTAGAAAGTCAGTTCTCATGTGTTTGAAGTGAAAAATTAATCAGAAAGTAGCAAGTTTGTGGAGCTTGGTAACATAGCTATCGGTAACTTCTTAAATCCATAAAAGTTAAATCTAAGGGAAAAATTGGCAGAGAGCAACTGACTTTCAAACACGATGAGTTCATCACAGGTCGAACCTCCTCAGTTACCATGACTGAAAGGCAAATGACCAGGAATGCTTACTGAGAGTTCACTGCCCATTGAAAACATATGACTCTTAAAACTTTTGTTTATGCATAGAAGTGTGATTTTAAGGATTGGAAAAATCTATTTTAACAAAAGCTAAAGTTTTCTGAAACTTAAGACCACCCTGTGCTGTGACTTTCTCAGTTCTCATAAAATAAACTAGGTCTTACTTGTCATTACTTAAAAGGAAGACCACCAAAGAAAATCCAAGGTGCGACTCCACGCAGTGACTCAATAAATAGCCCTTTCTGCGGAATCAACGTTTAATATTGCCTTCAAAATGCTGTTCAGAGCTGTTGCAGCCACACACGTAGTCTACATGGATTGCTCTGGGTCCCTGATGTCCAATTCAGATACTGACCCCTTGGATGCTGTGGAGAAGTCAAGGATTAAAAGTGGAAATGCCGTAAGACTGATTCAACTTGAAGGTGCTGGAAAAGTAGTAGGCTTTGGCATACAATAACATATGTATTCAGATCAGAAATATATTCAGATCATTTTGGGGTGGAATCTGGGCTCCCTCCCTCGGTACTGTTAGCCTTAGACAATTCACTTAACATTTATGTTCCTTGGTTTCCTCATCTATAAAGTAGAAATAATAACTCCAACCTCATTGAGTCCCTCTATGGAATAAATAATTTATATAGTGTGTCCTGCATACAGTAGATGTTAGCTTCCTTTCATCCCTGTTCCTGGGAACCTGTTTTTGCCAAACACCAGTTCAAATGGTCTGGCAAGAGTTAGGTAATGACAAAAAGGAGGAGGAAAGGAAGATATGGAAATCACAAAAATTAGGACTAAAAAATGGAGAGGCAAGGTGAGAAAGTAGAGGGCAGTAGAGACAGTAAAGCGAACTTGTTGCTGTTCTGCGCAGATTATTTTTTTCCTTTTTCTGCTTTAAGCTTCCTGTCACTGAATCACTTGATATTCAATAACTTTCAAGGAAGCTTTGCGCAGTGGCAGTATCGTAGCCAATGAGGTTTATCCGAGGCGCGATTATTGCTAATTGAAAACTTTTCCCAATAACTTTCAAGGAAAAGCAAACAGAATGTACTTCACCATGCAATCAAAGCACAGTTTACCCAAGAAACCACAGGCTCCAGGTGTTGTATTTTATTTATAAATATGGGCACCTTATAGATTAATAGGCAAAGAAATTCCCATGTGATGTGAAAGATTCTAATTACTACAATACCTTTATTCTGTTTTAAATTATATGCCATAAAACCAGTCACACTAACTTTCTGGCAACAGACACACACACATACTTTTCAACCTTAGTATTATCATTTGTATTGTTTCATTTATTCCTTTTTTTTTTAATGAAGCATTTAACCTTGAAAAGATTTCACTAGTCCACCATCAATAGATCATTTTAAGACAATAGCAAAAAAAAAAAACTTTTAAAGTCAAGTCTTATGAAAACTATACTCAGAGAACAAGATACAGTATATAGAAAATGAAAGCAAGAAGGAAGGAAGGAAGGAAGGAAGGAAGGAAGGAAGGAAGGAAGGAAGGAAGGAAGGAAAAGAAAAAGAAGAAAGAAAGAAAGAAAGAAAGAAAGAAAGAAAGAAAGAAAGAAAGAAAAGAAAGAAAGAAAAAATCCCTTTGAATATGGGATTCTGAGAAGGGGTCATTTACTTGGTTTGAGTTACTTTGGACACCAGAATTTTGTCTATAAACTGTGCTGTGCCCAGTCCAAGTATCTATATATAATATTTACATGGGCTTTTAAGTAGAAACTTTATGAGAATGACTAAAGGATTTATTTATTCATGACTAAACCCATATTCTATGATAAGAGTTATGTTTCTATTTGGCAATTCCATGTAAACTAACTATATAATAGTCAGCATTCTGATATTTATCTTTAGTTTTTCCTCAATAATGAACTGGTGATAACCCATATCCAGTGGTGGATCTGGAGATAGTCTTTGTCCCCTTCAGACCACCTTTTGTATACCTTGTGTTCCTGTCCAACTGAGTCTGGCCTTTCCTGATATTTCTCCCTTTTGGTTCTGGGTACCTAGAAGTGTTCACAGACAGACTTATTAATCCAGTCCTGTTTTTCTTTGCCTATCAGCTGCCCTGAGATTGCATTCTCTCAGAGATCAGCATTCTACAGCTCTGCTCCTTATAACCTCTTGGGGATGTTTTCTTTGCTCCTTTTTCTAAGTTGCAAGACTTTGGTTGGAGAATTTTAAGCCCCTTTTGCTAGGTAAAATAAAATTATGACCTTCCTAGAGTCATAATTGAAAATGGGTCCTTCCATTACTCAACTCCTTGACACTTCATGTGCAATCCATTCTACACAACATTCTTTGACAACAGTGTCAGTCCCTAAAGGCCCAATGTTGTAATGAATGACATATGTAAGATCTTAAGCCCAATATTTTGGTAAATGCCTATAAATTTTATTTTAGGAAGATTTTAATATGACATATTTTTACCATATTTATCAAAAATATATTTTTGGGGATCCCTGGGTGGCTCAGTGGTTAAGTGTCTGCCTTTGACTCAGGGCGTGATCCCAGAGCCCCGGGATCGAGTCCGACATCAGGCTTGCTAGAGGGAGCCTGCTTCTCCCTCTACCTGTGTCTCTGCCTCTCTCTGTGTCTCTCATGAATAAATAAATAAAATCTTTTTAAAAATATAAAAAGCTTTAAAAATATTTTTTTGCCTGCAATTCCTTTTGATATATATTTTTAATGGCCATTAACATTCTATAAGTTTCAAACATGGGTTATTTATATGTAAACCATTTGAGAAACAAGAAAACAAAATGATGGGAAGTAGAAATTATTAAAATAACATGTAGGTCAAGCTTTGCCTTCAAATTTCACTAAAAATGGCTGAAATCATGTCTCAGATCCAATCCATGATTTACTTCCTATCAACAAGAACTTACTCTATCTCTTGAAATACACGTCTGATGAAAGCAGGTTTGGAGCCAATTAAGAGACTACTTCTGAAACACTTGATTGATATGTATACAAAATTAAATAAACAAATATTTGAAAAATGCAACCATAAGAATCATAAGATGATAAGCACTGAAAAGTAAGAACACGTGACTACTTTACAAGTATTCACAAAATCATAGAGGGGTTAAAGGTTAGGAAACATGGGAGAAGAACATAGTTATATAATAATATATGGATGCATTTTATTTTTATTAGCAAATAAGATACCAAGGAATAAATTCAGAATGTTATAAATGACCTTTTCTTTGGCTTATTATTTTGAAATAATTCCAAACATACAAAAATGTTTAAAGTTAATTTAACAATACATCCTTTACCAATGCTTTAGTGTTTCACAAAATTTGTTTTATCATTTTCTCTCTGAGAATGTTTTTCCTAAGAACAAGAATATTTGTTTATGTAAGCACGGTACAATAGTCAAATTCAGTAAGGGTAACATTGATAAAAATACTTTTATCTAATTTGATTTCATCTATAGTCCATATGCCAATTGTTCCAACATACTTTGTAATATTTCTTTTCCCTTCAGTCCATTATCCAGTCTAGGATCAAGTGTTGCATTTAGAAGTCATGTTCCCTTAGTCTTTTCTAATCTGGAAACGTAGCCCTGCCTTTCTTTGTCATTCATGACATTGACATTTTTGGAAAAGACATATGTTAGAAACCACAAGGTCATTCTGATACTACCCGTTGCCGTCCAACCTCACAAGGGTCTTTCTTGACATCTCTGCTCCATATTTGTATCTACCTTTCTCCACAGTGAAAACTGTGGCTCCCGCTGAGAACACACTTGCCCATTTGCCTGATCCTATAATAACAGCAGCTTTCAAATTCCTATATTCATACAGCTAGAAGGAAGAAAACTAAAGGAGTTTAAGTATAGAGTCAAAGTGCTATATTTGAAACATTTGGATTCATTCTTTTTATTCCTTCAATGTGGTTATGTTATTTATTTGAAATACAACTACAGTTGACCATAAATAACACAGGGGTTAGGGTACCAACCCTCCGTGTAGTAAAAAATCTGCATATAATTTCTGAGTCCCCCAAAGCTTAACTACTAGACACTTACTGTTGACCAGAAGCTTTACTGGTAACATAGTCTAGTAACACATATTTTATAAATTATATGTATTACATACTGCAATCTTACAATGAAGATAAAGAAAATATTATTAAGAAAATCATAGAAAAAATGCATTTACAGTACTGTGCTGTATTTATCAAAAAAGTCCATGTATATAATTGGACCTGTGCAGTTCACACCCAGACTGTTCAAGGGTCAACTGTACCAGAAATACTGTTTGCAATCGGTTTGGTGGAGTTTTTCTTCTCTTTTTGATTTAATTTTTAAACATGTAGAATATTAATATGCTTTCAAATGCCAACACTGTACATAAAGTTCTACTCAGATACCTGTCTTCCCTCCTACATCGCTTTACCATTCCTTCCTTATAGGCAACCACTTTCAGTGTTTCCTGATTTATTCTTCTATGTTTTTTTTGAAAAGGTAAGTAGATATGTTTTTGTTTCTTCATACCCTCTATTTCTTATATAATAGTTAACATACAGATTTTTTTCATATTTTGCTTTTTTATCACTTAATAATGTATCCTAGAAATACTTCCTATCAGTTCATAGAGCTCCTCCTCTTCTTTTTTTAACAGCTGGATAGTATTCCATTGTATGCATGCAGTTTTTTCAACCAACCCCCTATACTCTGGCATTTATAATAATCTGCAATGACAAGTAATGCAGTAATAAATAGCTTGTACTTATGTAGTTGTGTACAGTTGGAAGTCCTCCTTCAGACTAAATTCCTAGAAGCAGAATTTCTGGGCCAAAAGGTTAGAGCATATATAGTTTTGATCAATTCCACTTTATCTGACATGAAGATCTAATCTTCCGATTTTTTAAGCTGTTTTTATGTGCCTGCTGTATCTTTTCCCATATGTTTACTTCTAGCCTTTTTGACTCTCTTGTGTATTTGGCATGTGTCCTATAAATGTACAGATCTGGGTTTTGCTTTTTTAACCAATTTGAAAATCTTTTTCTTTTAATAGATGATTTAGACCCATTCACAATTCACAATGACTAGTATGTTTCGTGCCAACTCTATCATATTATGTAATGTTAGAATTACTTGGTTTACTGTGGTATATTTGCCATTCTTCTTTCTCCTTGTGGGATGATTCCTTGCTATCTTCAGAATTTTTGTTTGGCTTAGGAAGGTTTGTATCTTGATCCTATACATTGCAACTTTGGGTTTCAAAATAAAAAGTTGATGGCTATAAAAAACAAATAATTTTATTTAAGTAAAAATGTTCCAAACACTAACACTTTTATGACACATCACAAACTCCGTTCACAGGGCTTGGGGGTATAGACTACTGCGGCAGAGTAGCTTAGCTGAGAAAGAAGGAGGCTCAAGTCTTGCCCAGAAGATTTAAACCATGACACACATGGAGTACATTCTTCTTGATTCTACCAAGCTCAGTTTGCAAATAAATGATCTTGAAGGATAAGGGTTCAAGACACTTGGCATAACCTGTTTGTCTAGGTAGGATGGTGATGGCTACACTTCCTTATCCCAGCCTTCTTTGCTCCCACACTGTTATTTTGATACAGCTAAAAGTTCAACTCCCCAACCCGGCTCCAGCCCCTCCTAATGAGGGAAGCGTAACACTATCCAGGCGTCTCCCAGCACGGTGATCCAAATGTCCTTGCTCTACACAGTCTGATTTATATCAGTTTGGTTAAAAATCACCCACATGTTGGAAACCCCCTGTGGAGAGGTGTGTACTGGCCCCAGGCCATACCTTGCTGCTTCTTATTTTCTTCTCCCTGCCCGAAATCTGTGGTTGGAGGGACCTGCTGTGTATTTGTGAAATTATCCTCATAGGGACTCAGAGAAGAACTTTGGCCTCCTTGAAATAATTTACACCTAATTTAGTTAAAGGAGCATAAATGATGGGCCTGCTTTCTACCATCAATAAGAAGCATCACTTGCAAGATTTTTCATGCGAGGTTTGAGCACATGCAGCAAACGCTTTCTATCGTCTGGGGCTAGAAAAATCTCTCAGAGTAAGAGATTATTTTTGACAATA